TCCTCCGTATGTGAACAAAGGAGAGAATGCCAAGCATCGTCAGTGTGCTGTGGCTGCTCATGTCGAGTACAGAGTCACAAAACTTAGCGGAGAGTGCAGCCAATGCAGTAGCTCAATTGTTTTCTCCTCCAACCATGAGTTCCAGGATAAACATTAGTGATTGCATCTCAGATTGTGGGTAGGGTAGCAATTCCAATTCTACAAAATGGTGTTTGGTCTGTGGGAAGTGACAGTTTGGCATTATTTTGGCAGCAACGACATGGATATTGATGGCCGCGCGTGAATTTTAAACTAAGAGATGCTTGTGTTAACTTTAAGGAGCTATAAAAGGACACTTTACTAGAGGACTAAATTTTCTCACAACGTAAGCTAATAAATCGTTTTCCCCCATCAATCAGATCTAGGGCTGCCCATATGGTTTTGGTTTTTTGGTTTTAACCGAAACCAAGCCAATTGGAAAGCTAATGGTTTCAGTTTTTTGGTTTTAAACCAATAAGCAACTTAATGGTTTTGGTTTGGTTAAAACCGAAAAACCAATGAAACTGTTTGTACAGTCTTGATCCGGATCGAACAATGATATTTGTGGGTGGGTCGACTCGTCATCCGTTCGTCTGATCTCGTCGGGAGGGAAGAAACCTGTGAAAGAGCCGGGGTTGCCCCCCCGGATTAAGCTCCGACGACCAAGTCAGTGTCTGCTTGTGGAGAGAGTTGAGAGAATAGATAGAGAGATGAAGTATAGAGAGATAGTAGAGAGTGGAAAGTGAGGAGAGAGAGAATACCCCTTTTCTTTGGAGGGCTTCAAGCCCTTATATACCTGTAGCGAGTACCGAGTGTTGCCATTGCCGATTGTGCGCTCTACTACTTAGTCTGTGCACGCAGTATTTAGTAACACCCCCAAAAATTGCCCCCCAAGCTGGTGGTGAGTTTTAACTCATCGCTAGCTTATATATTTTTTTTTTAAATCTTCGTCGGTAATTCTGGGTGGAGCCCTATGTACCCCAGTTGCCCCCCAGCTGGTGGCGCGTTTGACTGACGCGGTGCCAGCTTCTTGCGTCTTGCCCCCCAGTTGGTGTATTCCATTAAGGCGTGTAGCGCCCATTAGCGCCATTAACGCTCAGTAAAGTAAAATATTTCAATATTTAATAATGATAGAGGGACAGAGTACTTAGCTTTATGTTTGTTAAAATAAGAGTGTTGCGTCTGAGGCTCGCAAGGCGCGTGTGCAGCCTATTGGTGATGTTACTTGTCTGGCGGAGGAAGGACGCGAGTTCAATTCCTGGCGTCGGCAATAATATTTTTGACGCAGGTAGTGAGACCAAGTTGGACTTGGCGCGGTTGCCTTGTGGGTCGGGGCTTGACGCGGAGCGGATCGGGCGACTTCGTTGGAGGGCCGCGAGCTGATGGTCACGAGACGCTTTAGTGGTGAAGAGTGAGCCTTAGCTAGCTTTATGTTTGCGCAGTGGCGGCAAAGAGTAATAAATTCAAGTGTCGCACACTTGATGCGTAAGCTTTTGATATAGCGCATTGGTATGAATGCTGATGTTGTGAACTAATGGGAACGGGTTCGAATCTTCCCAACCCCCGCTTTTTTGTTGACTTAATGGTCGCAGTTCTGTGGCGGGCCGAGAGCCGCGAATGGGCCCATGCGCGGTGAAAATGGATACGGGTGACTCAGGAGAGTAGCGGCTGGGCTCTCCTCTCTGTCATCATCATTTTTTTTTCCGTCCCGTGGAACTGAGTGGGCGCGAATAGTTTGTGACTATTGCTATTTTTTGTTCCGTGGAACTGAGTGGGCGCGAATAGTTCGTGACTGTTGCGACTTTTTGTTCCGTGGAACTGAGTGGGCGCGAATAGTTCGTGACTATTGCTATTTTTTGTTCCGTGGAACTGAGTGGGCGCGAATAGTTCGTGACTATTGCGACTTTTTGTTCCGTGGAACTGAGTGGGCGCGAATAGTTCATGACTATTGCTATTTTTTGTTCCGTGGAACTGAGTGGGCGCGAATAGTTCGTGACTATTGCGACTTTTTGTTCCGTGGAACTGAGTGGGCATGAGTAGTTAAACATCAGACGCCGCGCCATTCAAACACACGACTCGTATGCAGCCTGCTGGTAGTGTCGCTTGTCCTGCGTCAGAGTGATGCGGGTTCGAGGACTGGCGGCGGCGACAATTTTTTGAAGAATTCCGTTTGTTTGAACGCCCGCCAGTTGGGCCGCTACAGTTCGGGCCGCTTGAAGGAAGAGTCTATAACATAAGATCGTTGCGCCTAAGAATCACAACGCACGGGAGGGAAGAAACCTGTGAAAGAGCCGGGGTTGCCCCCCGGATTAAGCTCCGACGACCAAGTCAGTGTCTGCTTGTGGAGAGAGTTGAGAGAATAGATAGAGAGATGAAGTATAGAGAGATAGTAGAGAGTGGAGAGTGAGGAGAGAGAGAAGACCCCTTTTCTTTGGAGGGCTTCAAGCCCTTATATACCTGTAGCAGGTAGCGAGTGTTGCCATTACCGATTGTGCGCTCTACTACTTAGTCTGTGCACGCAGTATTTAGTAACACCCCCAACAGAAACCATTAAGAAACCAATAAGAACAAAATTATTTATCAACAAATATTTTTTTTTGTTTTTTTTTGACACGCATGCCAACCAATAATTTATAATGGCCATTTATCATTATTATGACGTTTATTCAATAAAAAGGAGGGAAATGAGAATAAATATGAGTGTATGAGTACATGTTGGTTTTTTGGTTATCCAAACCAAAATCAAAACCATTAAAGCCCTTATTGTTTTTTGGCAACCGAAAACCAATAAGGGCCTTAATGGTTTTGGTTTTTGGGTTTTGGTTTTTGATTTTTGGTTTTTCATACTTAATGATTTAGTTAACCAAACCAAACCAGATTGACAGCCCTAATCTGATCAATATAAGCTTTTTGATTGATTCAAGGTGTCACCCCCTCTATGAGTTAACACTGCTTTTATGCCTAATGCTGCTCTATCTGCCATCGAGTTATCGGAAAATTTTCCCATTTAGGAGTGAACGAGCTAAGTCATACCACCTATTTGGATATCTTTAGTTGAAAAGCAAATAGGATCCTTTCTGCTCCAGCTGCCGATGAGGAGAAGCTGGGAGCAACTGCCATCGAGCCGAGGGTTGTAATTAGTGGGGGAGACTTGTTCAGGCTTCAAGAAGACCAAAGTGGTTTGTTTAAAATTTTAATTGATTTGGGACACAAAATAATCAAAATGAAATTAGCTATTAATGAGAGACAATTTGGTCAAATTTTTTTTTTATGAATGGAGGGCTTTATTCATCATACAATCAAAACTACACAGTTTGGCACAGCAATTACAACCTCACTACAGCACTACTATAGGCCTAACTAGTACCACCAGTCCTCAAAACCAAAAAATAACCAGAATCAATATACAACTACTACAGCAGACCCATGTAGACCTGTTTGCATCTAGCTAGGTCCTGCTAGCAGATTGAGGCATTTTGAACCAAAGTGGTTTACCCTCAACTGCTACTGCAAACGCAACATCTCCTGCTAGTTTGTACTCCACCTCCTGGGTCATCTTCCGAGCCAGTGTTGCTGGAGACATGGACTTGTTGTCATATAATCGTCTACAACGCTGACGCGATACTTCACTTACCAGCAAACACCAAATGAGACGCCTTGTCGAGCATCCCCCCACCCTGCAAACCGCATCTAAAACTGCGCTTTGAAACGACCACACAAGAGGAAACTGCCATGGGCCAAAAACTAACTTCCAAACCTCCCTGACATAAGAACAAGAGAAGAAAAGGCGCTCTCAAGACTCTGCCTCAGAAAGACAGAGAGGGCAACTGTCAATGACTTATGGATTCCATCTCTTAATCTTGTCCAGAGTAGTGATTCTGTTATGCAGAACAAGCCAGGTTAAGAAGGAATTTTTTGGGATCAGAAACCCCTTCCATACCAGTTTGACCCAAGGGATAGTGGCTTGCCTTGATCTAAGAGTCTCCCAGACTGTTTTGATACTGAACCTGTCCATGATGGAACCATCCCATTTTACACCATCATCAGTGCTGACCAAATGGAGCTAACAAGAGGTTTTATCTTGAGAATTTTATTCCACCCCCAAGACCCTTTAATATGAGTTTCCCAAATGATCAAGTTTTGTAGCCTGTATTCCTTCAACCATGCTATCCACAAGGTCTCCTGATTTGAAAGAACAGCCCAAATATGCCTAGCTAAGCATGCTTGATTCCACGACCACAAGTCCCTAAACCCCAGGCCACCTTCTTCTTTAGGTAAAGCTACATGTTTCCAGGCCACTTTTGCCTTCTTGCTCTGCTCCAGATTTCCCCACAGGAACTTCGAACATAGGGTTTCCACTTCACGTATGACTTTCTTGTGGAGCTGAATGATGTTCATCCAAAACTGAGTAATGCTGGCTAGAACAGCAACTATTAGTTGGAGTTTGCCTGCATATGCCAATAGTTTGCTTGCCAACCTCTAATACGACTAGTTATCCTCTCCACCAAAGCTTTACACTCTACTGCTTTTAGTTTACCCGCTGTTAGAGGGATCACCAAATACCTGACAGGCAGGGCTCCTTCCTTAAATCCATAACAACTAGCCAACATACCCCTTTCCTCTTCAGTCACACCCGCACAGAAAAATTCACTTTTAGAAGGATTACATCTAAGTCCAGAAACTAGATAGAATTTCTCCAGTATAGTAGCAACAGTCCCCACTGCCTCCCTTGACCCTTTTGTGAAATCAGCAATGGTCAGAGTAACCAGGAGGAATTGATAATGCTGAGGAGTATGGAAACTGTGCCATCCAACCTTCTGCCACAAGAACTCTGTCCAACCTCTTAGCTATGGGGTTCCCTACTTGCTTATTTTGTCCACGTGAACCAAGGTCCAACTACCTTGTGATCAACCAACTGCACCCTATCAATCCACTTCCCAAAGTTATTAGCACTTTCCCCTAGTGTAACCGGACTTGAGGATTCACTGCAGAGAAGTGACCAGGTTAGCTACAGCCTGTTGAAGGAATTTCTCCTCTATGCCAGCAGATGGCCTTGACTCGTCCTGCAAGACAGGATCCACTTGAGAATTCCCAATCACGGTAGCGGAATCACCAGTCAGCGGTACCTCAGCCAAGATTTCTTCAACCTGCCCTACAGTTTGCGTTTCGACTGCCAAGGGTTCAGAGACTTGAGTTTCCGTTTCTTGGCATTGGTGCCCAAACCTGGAGCATTTCTTACAGATCTCATGCATATTACAATACTCGAGCTGAACAGAGTAGGGTGGCCTTCTGTCTAGGACTAGTCTCAGAGACTCAAGAAAGGGAGAATCCACTCTGAACTCCATACACACATTTGGATATCCCAATCTTCGTCCCAATCGACTAGCCTTATCAAACTAGAGGGTTTTTCCGAGCATACTCGCAAGTCGAGTCAGAACTCGCCCCGTTACATGCTCAAGGGGAAGATCCAGGAAGCGTACCCAAATTGGGATGGTTTGCTGTGGTTGCTCGGCTCGAATTCCCGGCTCCCATTTCCTCAGATAGCACATATCGTTGTGGAGATGCCAAGGCCCACTCGTGAAAAACCAGTGAGCAGTCTCCTCCTTCAGAAACTGAAAAAGTAACAACTAGTCGCCCAAATGCAAAACCCTAATCGAACCGTGCTTTCCCCACAACCTGTTAGCCCATGCTTGGACCTGCCTGATGTGAGGGGACGAAGCAAGAAACTGCCCTACCAGACAGTTCCTCCACCTCGCTATGCCCTCTTCCTCAAGCTCTGCCGGGAATCCTCAACCCGCCGTCAACGATTGCAGGCTCGATGTAAACGAGACGATTTTCCTCCGCAATGCCGAACAGATCCGCCCACGAACGATCACCAGCCATGGCGAGGAGAGTAGAAGAGGAGAAAAACCAAAGGATCCAGGAGATTTGCCGCGACGGCAATGGCGGCGCCGAATCGACGAACCAGAGGACTTTTCCCGCGCTCTCTCTCACTCCAATTTACCAGCCCATTTACCAGCCCATTTAATGGTAGATAATTAGGGATAAGGGTAAACTCGTTACTTTTTAATATTATAAGGGTATATTTATAGGTAAAATTAATAAAGGGACACATTTGTTAATTTGCAATGATAGAGAGGTACAAAATGCTATTAACCCAACAACAAAACTAAAAGATTTTGTACCTTAGCAGGCCTTAGAAAAGTACATATAACGAGTCTGTATTAAACGTTTTCCCCTTGTTTTAATGGTCAATTGATCGACACGCCAGCTAGTGAAGCCCAACGTGCGATCCAGGAGAGTATATATATAAGAACTTTGCTATGGTGACTTGCAAGTCACCGTAACTTGGACAAAACGGTCGATGTGTTCACTGATGATGTCGACCTATTTAGACAAAACGGTCAACCTCTTCACTGATATGGTCGACCTATTTGTAAAACTTGGTCGACCTCATTATTGGAATGGTCGACTAGATGTATTATTTTCCATTTGCTATGTTCAACAAACGATCAACCTCTTCCACTAAAAAGCACTATACAAAAAAATGGTCTACCACTTCCATCAAGTGGTCTACCTCTTTCCCCGGCGGTCCACGTCTTTCAATAATTGATCCACTTGATTAAAAATTCCAAGTGATATCATCATATATAATTAGAGTCCAATAACAATAAATATGCTTTCTAGTAAGAGATTTAAAATTATTACAAAAGCTGCAAGCATAGATGACAAGTTTCTCGAGTGAATGTTCTACCGTTGATTTGAAAAATGTTACGCATATTTATTTCTTATGTTGCGTTACTACAAAAATTATTTTATATTGTTGGTCTCCTATTGTCCAGTACTCTCCTAATGTAAGAATAAGGTAACTATGTTATCTGGTCCGCTGGTTGCCGAAAGCGGAGATCATTTGCCGAAAGAGATTCGTAAACCATTTTGCAGAATTGGTAGGATGCTTTGGTGGAAGCGGACTACCTCCTTCAACAAGCAGTTGTAAGTTGATGGTAAATGTGTCACATGTCGACCCATTGCCAGAAGTGGTAGACTAGCTGCCTCGAGTGGTATACCACTTGGTGGAAGAGGTCGACCACTTAATATAATTGTGTCATCAGGTCAACCCATTTTCAAATTGGTAGACCGGTTAACTCAAGCGGTATACCACATGGTGGAAGAGGTCGACCATTTTCTTGGAAAGTTGTTGACCACTTGGTGGAAGATGTCGACCATTTGGTGGAAGAGGTCGACCACTTGGAGGTAAGTGTGTCATCAGGTTGACCCATTTCTGGAAGTGGTAGACCGGATGACTCAAGTGATAGACCACTTGGTGAAAGAGGTCGATCATTTTCTTGGAAAGTGGTCGACCACTTGATGGAAGAGGTCGACCGTTTTCTCTAAGTTACGATGACTTGCAAGTCACCATAAGCATACCTTATATATATATATATATAGGGTTAATAGTTAATACCTTATTCTGATCTGAACTTTTCACAAATATACTATTTTGGCCCGTATTTTTTGAAACTCCTATCCTGAACTAAACTGTGCACTATCTATACTATTTTGGCCGAACGCGTTGATTGATTGTCAAGGTGAACGTTCAACACTATTGAGTAATAGACAATGCGCAATGTCATCAATAAAAATTAATTAAATTTTAAACTAATTACAAAATTATTTAATATAATTATCAAATAAACAAAAATATTAAAAAAATAACTTTAACTTCTACCTCTTGACTCGCTAAAACACAACACTAAACTACGACCAAGGATAATTGTAGAATGGAAATGCAGAATAGTGGTGAAGTTTAATTTATCAACCCGGGGTCGAGATCTACTGCCTACTCCGCAAACTTCTATCATCTAACAATCTAAGTGTAGTGAGTTGTGCAATCGCAAAATAAACAAAAAGCAAGAAATGTTCTGGTTTTTCAAGTATGTCAAAGTTTATCCAGGTTTGATTTCCCCTGGTATGCAGCTAGTTCAGATTACATGTTCCCAATTTGTTCAGATTGTAAGATATACTGCGGAAAGTTCTTGACAAGTCTTGAATCTCAACTAAAGTTATCCAGAACCTCTTGGTTTGAATACCCGACGGGCGACTAACCTCTGCCGGCAAAAATTGCCAAGGCAATAACACACCAAACTTTCTTTACTGGTTCTGATTCCAGTACAGCGTAATGAATTGATTTATCGACTAAAGCAATTAGTTCACCACTTTCAATATAAGGTTTCTCTGTTTACCTATGTAGAGACTATCGTTCTAGGTTAAAGCAGGAATCACAAAAGTTGATCAAGACTCATGCAATTCTGATTAATGCTTCAATTGAATATATCAAATTAATCATTCACAAGTGGGGGTTCATACAACCTTTCCTAACATACAAAACTAGGGTTCTTCATACCCAGACGAGAAGATAGTTTACTCCATAGAGAGAAGAGGTAACATCGTGCTAAGAAAAGGATTCATCATGTAGACAATGAATCCTAGCGGCTAATCGGTACTCTGAGAATGAGGAATCGAGCTCCGAGGTCTTTAGATCACTCCAATTCTTGCCCAAGGGGTGTTCTTCATCACTTTCTCTCTCTAGGGTCCTCTCTAGCCGTTTAGAACTAAAAAATATGGATTGTGAGGTAACTTTCACCAGCTGCAGCTTAGAAAACCCGATGCCAGAATCCAGGATTGGGGATTCTGAGTTCAGACAATAGATTTCCAAAAACGGCGCACATCAATTACTACAAATCCAAAATCCATCATCTCCTCATGAAAATCTCCGGTCATGGAATTGAGTATTCAGACCGTGGATTTCCCCTAAACGGATTAGACGGTCCATTCCTTGAATCCACAGTCCGGGATTTTGAAGCACCAGACCGTGGATTTAGCTGCTCTGGCCTCCGGTTCCCATTCGCTCTCCAATTGCACCCAGATTTGCTCCTCATCTTCCATTTACGTGCCAAAACCTAAAACATCATCAACAAGAACTACCGAGAATAAAAAGGGCAAAAGGCAATCAAAAGTTACACCAAACGGTCGAGAAGTGTCAGAAAAAACATGTGTAACTATGGTGTTATCAAATTCCCCTACTCTTAACTGTTTTATTGTCCTCAAGAAAACTTGACCCAAACCAATGCAACTCTTCAGATCGTTATAGCACTATGAAACCCCGATCGCCGGTAAAGGACTTCCTAGGACTTCCTAGGTCAACCGTTTTTCTACGACGTCCCCTATTTTTCTCCATGCGAGTACTAGACTCACACCAGGATCATGCGAAGTAGTGGAACTAGGACAATCAATTAATGGATAGAGAGATGAACACAATTCAACAACCAAGGACTCTTCGTATCGAGTGCTCTTCCATTACATTTCATTCATTGGAACCCCTTTACCTCATTATTTGTTTCTTTTTATTTTGTTTTTCACATTCTCACTTTGCTGGGGTTCCAAACTGCAGTTTTTATGCGCGGGCGACCCTTATTGGTTGATCAAGAGCAATTTTTGTACATCTGTCACTTCCTAGAGTACTTATATTAACTCATTTTCCTCAATTCGTGTATAGGGTCAATGAAATGAAGTGGGGTCGGAAGCTCTATTTGTCCCCTTATAAAAACATCCTCGAGTAGGCAAACTGTTCAAAGGGTGGAATTTTTTACTTGTACTAGGGATGACTTAGCATCACCTTGTAGGACTTCCCCACTAAGGATCACTAAAATCTCTTCCAAAACCCAATTTTGTGCAATGAACGGTGCCACACACGTTGGGCTTACCCCATGTTTAAAATTGCACATTTTTCGACATTGAGGACCAACTGCTTTTTCCATTACGCACACGGAGAACCCTTTTATGATACATGAGTAAACACACAAAGCACAGAGAGTCATCGATACCACACGAATTAAAGCTCCTAAATCCACTAGTTCTCACAATCAACCGACACAACAAGGAGAAAGATAGGAGAAATCTTATACTTCAGCATCCTCCATAGTGCTACAACTACCTCCTTAGGTTGCATAGTACTATATATACTATCAATTCAAATCATACTGAGCAGGTGTTTGCCAATAACGCGTACTTGGATCACTCATATCAAATTTTGGACAGTGGACTAGGCTCCAAGCACACAAACATATCTAAACAGCCAAATAGAAACACTCCCACCCCCATATTTAAGATATACATTGCCCTCAATGGAGAAGAGGGAAAGATAAGGGGAACGATGTTGCCGGGAAGAACAGACAACATCGGGAACAGACTC